ATAGTTGTTAGGGCTCGTATATAAGTTAATAGTAGAAAATTTTAAATTTCCTCCATATTGACAATTATGACACACGTAGACACACAGTTCCAGAGTGTTGATTTTGTTATGGGTAAATATATAACAAAAACTAAAGGTATAGTGAAAAATATTTTATGTATGCATTGCACATCACTGCGTAAAATTTCAATTTACAGTTGGAAAGACACCCCCGAAAATCTCAGTTTTTCACGCGTATTTTGAAAATAATAAAGTAACGATTTTATTATCTGAGCCGTATTCCACTCGAACATTCTGGTTGAGTTTGTCGTTTTTTGTAGGTTTTGATATACCTGCAACCTTTACAGAATTCCAACAAAAATATTTATCGTTTTGAACTACATGGACAAAATCATTGACGGATATTTTTCAGTTTATGGATCAAAGCAATTAGAACGCGCTTTTTTGAATCGTTGTAAAAATATAAAAAAAGTAGCGGCCTTTGCATCCATTTATCGTTTTTAATTCCATATTCATTCGGCTTCCAGAGCGCGTAAAGTGAGGTCGATGCAATGTCATTATAATTCATTGTTTATTAAAAATAAATAAAATGTGTTAAAAAATATTAAAATGAATATCAGTTCTTTAACAGATTTATTTACTATGAGTATAAAAATATCACAATTTATATTAAAGGGTTATTCGAGTAAATGAAAAATATGATCAATTATAATCAAATACAACTTATGGAAACCAATTCCACCAGGTATATGCTACCACCAAAATGGACAATTGATGATAAATCAAACGCTGACATTTTATCAACAGCAAATTCGAATAAATATCTATCCAATTTCATCCACGATGCAAAACCAATAATAGAAAATATTTACATCAAACCTTCATCCAATATCTGGTGAACAAATACATCAAACAATTTAATATCCAGTATTTACTCCATCTACCAGCGAAACAACAACTTACAACATTACAGAAAGCTAACTATCAATGGAAAACTGTCAATTATTAAAAAATATTATGAAGCACGAAAGAAAACATCAAAAAACTAAAGACAAACTACAATTAAGCATTACTAACGGGGTACCAATAAAACAGATGGCAACAGATTTAAGATAATCCAACTGATGTAACCACTGAGAAAGCAAATAAGCTCAAACATCCTCCTATAATTATAGATAAGGTAGCATTTATCAATTCTAGCGCTATTAAAGTGTGCCGTTCTTATAGTGGCCGTGTGCCTATAGCGCGTTGGCGAATTATCTTAAGACCAGACGTCTGTCTTTTGCGAAATGCAAAAGATCGCCAGTGTTATTTATACCTGTCCAGTCCTTTATGTTTAATAGCCACGACATTTGTTTGCGACCTACAATATTTCTTCCTTCAATGCCTATTCCTTGCCTTCAATATTTCCCTGGATAATTAGTTGAGAGATTGCGTATTTTTTTTCTCTCAGAATATGGCCGAGGTATCCAATTTTTCGTACCTTGATTAAATTGAGTAGTTCTTCCTCAGTATTTGCCTTTCTTAAGACTTCTTCTCTTCTCATCTTATCTGTCCATGGTATGCGGAACATTCTTCGCAACGTCCTCATTTTGAAGGCCTCCAACTTATTAATGGAAGGTACTCTTAACGCCCATGTTTCCATGCCGTATAACAATATGGACCATACATAGCATTTAACCATCCTGTACTGTAGCGGAGATTTAAGGAAAGATTGCGGTTACATAGTAGCGGTTTAAATTTGATAAAAGCTTGTCTTGCTTGTTCGGTACGGCATTTTATTTCTTGTTGAGGATCCCGTTGGTCATTTATCTTCATTCCCAAGTATTTCAACGTTTTCACTTGATGGATTGGAGCATTATCTACTTGCAGTTGTATTCTTAAAAGTGTGTTTTTCCTTATTGCCTTGCATTTAGTTTTTCCAGCATTTATCTTCAACCCATATTTTTCCTACGGTGTTTATTTTATTTAACATCAACTGCATATCATGTTCGTTGTCTGTTATTAATCGCGGTGTCGTCGGCGTAACGAATGTCATTTATCGGAAACCCGTTAACCTTTATTCCACACTCAGAGCCTTTCAGTGCCTCTACAAAAATGGTCTTCACATGGAGATTGAATAACATAGGAGACAAAATAGACCCCTGTCGCACCCCTTTTAAAATTTCAAATTCTTCTGTGTTGGTTGATTTGTTCAGTTTCACTCGTGCTTTTTGATTCCAATAGAGATTCTGGATAACTCTTATATCTTTCTCGTCAATGTAAGCATTGTGTAGCATTTTTATCATTACGTCATGTTTTATGGTGTCAAAAGCTTTTTCATAATCGAAGAATGTTATGACTATATACTTTCGTTGATCCATGCAGTTTTGTACAAGCGTATTCAAGCAGAAAGCTGCTTCACGTGTACCCAGTCCGCTTTCGAAACCAAATCGTGTCTCACCGCTTAGATCTTCCAGCTTTCTGAACATTCTTGTGTAAAGGATGCGAAGAAACACCATGGAACATCCAAAATTATAAAATAAAAATCCCTTACCTATGTTTATTGTGGATTTAAAGCGCAATGAAAATCGCACATGCAAGAAGGGTTATACCCGAATGCAATCGTTGTCAGAGATGCGACAATATAAAAAATTTTTGTCAACGCAACGTTAGATCCCGAAAATGCAAAGAACTACACCAAACTGGTCAGTGTCAAAGAAACGTAAAATGCACACAGAATTGCATAAAACATATCTCAGACTAAGAGACAAAACTACGAATCGACGAACTACGAACTACGAACTACGAACTACGAAACTACGAACTAACGAATCGACAGGCCAGACACCAGCCAGAGTCCTATTCGGACGCGAGATGCAACTACCTTGTGATCTAGAGTTTGGGTGTCGACCTGGAGAAGATGTAGCAGGTGAAGATTATGTGATCGAATTACGAAGAAGAATGGATGATGTACACGAGTTGGTCCGTTCCCATCTCCAGATCGCTAGTGACCGAATGAAGAAACGGTACGATACGCAAGCCGAAAAGGGGTGTTTTAAGAAGAACGACAAAGTCTGGCTTTATAATCCCAAAAAGCGAAAAGGTTGTTACCCCAAGTTGCAGCAGTTTTGGGAAGGTCCATACCTCATTAGGGAAAAGATCAATGATGTCATTTACATAATAAGCAAGATTCCAAGGGGAAAGCCGATGATAGTACACCATAACCGGCTGGCGTCTTTCGAAGGTGACCACGACGTAGATGAAGAAGTTGAAGTAAACCAAGTCCAAGATGTGTCTGACCTCACGTTTGAGGAATTCATGGGTATCTATGGAGGTACCGGTAAAGCAAGACATGGTGTTACCACTGAAGAAAGGCAAGATCTACTCGCGCTTCCCGATGACTACTCACTGGCCCTTACCATCCCGGCCAGTATCAAAGACGCACCAGGGTTGGCATCCGTCTTTCGAAGGAAGTTCGGTCGAGTTGCAGAACTTCAATGCCAAGTGCCAGCTCCCGGTAAAACCTTGAAACTCCAAGATGCACCAGTTACCTTTTCTACCTGGGTAAACATAAGCCACTGCCCGTGAATACTATCCTACCTACCGTGATGTATGGGAAGCCTTACTTAGTTGAGGAGACACGATACTAGAGTCCAACGTTACAAAAGTTTAGCCATGCCGAGTTGGAGTGCCGCCAATAGATTGGGAGGGTGTTAACGAAATTATGGTGGATGGAGATCTTTAAAGACACCGAATGTCCATGTGTATAGGTCTGTTGCAATCCGCATAGTTCCTGGTGCGGAGAGAAAACGTCCCTGTTTTTTTTACAATGGTAGTTGTTCACTAGAGGTCCAGTGTTGCCGATACACAAGCTTATGCGTTCCAGTTCCAAGTCCCGGACCAAGGTTCCAGGCATGGAACCATCTTTGTAAGAGGGGGCAATGTTACGATTTTAGATGTAATGCGTATAGAACTGTAAATATTTTATGACTAATTCTTTTTATTGATCTCGGAATTTGTAGATCAAAATCTACCTGAGACACGTTGGTTCCCTTCGCTATAAATGCGACGAATAAGAGTATTCTGGAATAGCACCGATACCTACCTAGTTTTTAGATCATGTTTGCGCTCTGTTCGACGAGAGCCTCGTATTCTACAGTCTAATTCGATGGGGTTCCGTTATAATGAAGAAGGCATCGATATTTCTAGATAACGGAGGTTTATGTATATAACGAAACATTTTTATTTGGAGAACCCAGTAAGAAGAATATCGCGGATATCGGGTTTTAAAAATTGTTTCGAACGTAATGAATTATTTGTAATTATTAAGTGTAAAATAAATAGTATAAAATAAAGACTTCTGATAAAATTATCGTAAGTTGTAATAATTTTAGAATAAAGACAGTAAAATTAGAAATTAAAGACAAAAATTAGAATAAAGACAATAAATTAGGACTAATCAAAAATATTACAAGTATATTACATTTTTGTTTGATGGTTAAAAATTATAAAAATGATATGCTATTACTTAATATCTTAGTGGAATTACATAGTAGGTAATGGTCATCAGCATCTTATGTAAAATTTTATTTTAAAACTTTTATTAATAATTATATTTTTTAACTTTACACCAATCTGTAAACGCAAACCATCACCTGAATTATTAATAAATAAAACTGATTAAATTATGTTTAAGTTTATTTTGTATTTACTTTATTTAATTTTTAGTTTATTTAGTAATCATAATTAAAGATTAGTTTTTATAGTCCATTGAAATGTTACATTTTTTATCCTTGACGTGTATTTCTTAGAGGACACAATTTTAAAGTGTTAAAATAATATTTTTGTTGGGTTTTGTTTATAAACAACCTAAACAAGCAGGTTAACTAACAAAAATAATTAATCACTTTGGGAAACTTTATATGTTTGTGACTGTATACTAGTATGGAGACTTATAATTGTATTTCAAGTTTAGCATACATAAAATAAGTTTAATTCTACAATAACCTTACCTTAACATTTCCGTATTTCCAAGTGAAAAAGACAACAATGGGCAAACAGCATATTATAACGCATGAGAGAATCAAAATAACTGTCCGCATAACCCAGTTTAGAGTAACCACACAGGGTCGTTCATCCTCACACGATTCACATCCTTCTGGACAAGTCAGGCACTCGAACATCCCTTCTTTATCGTATTGGTTGTCTTCGCCCTGAAAAAGAAAATAGTAAATTAGTTTCTACTGCAAAACATAACTTACAATATATTATTTTATATGCACGCACTAACCAAATTTAAGAAAAGCAGAGTTTTAAATTTTCCCAGAATTAAAATATATTCCCATAAAATATTGTTGCATTATTGCATTCGTGAGACATCCGATAATAAAGTTCAAGAAGAAGTCCATGCGAAGATTGTTCTCAATTTTATATATATATAATTTATTTTAAACAAATTGTAAAAATCAACTTTTTCGTTTTCTTTCTTAACAAATTAAGTTTTTTATATTTTTTGCATAATTTTAAACAAAAAAGGTCTCTTGCAAGATTTCTTTCTAAATTTTATCGCTTTGAGTTATAATCAAAGTAAAACTGAAAAATAAAGCGAAAAATGACTATATCTAATGCTCAAAACACAAATAAAAAATATTATTTCAAAATATTCAAGTGCCTAAGTTTAAGTTCAAACCTTTTTCTATCAGATTCCGTTGAATCTATGGAGCGGTAAATGGTGTGGTAAGGAGAAAACGAGACATCGTAAAATATATTGAGAGGTCATCTGAGGTGGATAGAGCATGTAATGTAGATGATACAAATTGAGCGGCTAAAAAATGCTCCTTGACAGACCCATTGGTTAGAGAAGAAGAGAAAGCCAAGAACAAGACTTCTTGGTAACATAGGTGAAAATATGAGAAATATGGGAATACATACTTCGCAGAGAAAGGCAATGGATGTAGAAATTCTTGAAAATACTTGGACTCACACAGGGTTAGAAAACAGAATAATAATGATACTTATAAAGCAACTAGCTTTTAAGTAGTTTATTTTTAGATATTTCGAGGTATTATTATTAGAAGGCGAGGGAAATGGACTAAATCTGTATAGAGAGTCGGCGCATCTTATGCAGTTTGTTTTGATTCTATTAAGGTTTGCCTCAATCGTACGGGGACATTGAAATCCGTCAGATTTGTCTGTGATGTCCAGTAGACTATAATAGTGGGAATCTGCTTTACTTCCTGACTCTTCCCTCCATTGGGCACGAGACAAAATTGGAATGATGTAGCGCTTGAGCCTATTTAACGAGAGGTAACCTGGATCGAAGTAGTTTTTAAGAATATTAGGAGTGTCGTTGTGGACTATAAGTTGACTATTATACATAATTTTGTTGTGTTTTTTAATCAAGATATGTTAGGGCGTAGCTTGGGTGGAGCTATGTTACTAATAGTGAATAGCCACATTATGGGGGTGAGCATAAGTTTACACGTTCTCTAGTAAGTAAGTTTCTTAATTACAGTTTATTCGTCTTCCGGGTTTGGACCGTGTCATTTGTGAGTGACCAAAAGTGGGTTCATCTCGACGTTTCGCTACAATTATATGTAGCTTCTTCAGGAGAACAAAGAAAAAGAAATCAAAAGACAGGAAGATGGGTAGTTAGCAACGGTAACTCAGTTACTCAACGCAACCAGAGGCGAATACTAACTACCAAGATGGGCATATGGTCACAGTAACTCAACTACTTAACGCAGCCAGAGGTGAAAACCAAATGCCAGGACAGGGATTCACGTCCAACAGCTCAAAACACTAACGCGTCGAGAGGCGGGGAGTGAATCCGACGATTACTCCGCTACCGTTCTATTTATAGTCGCGGTGACCTGTCGTGTCGGGACGTATCGGCACACTTATGTGGCTGCATCTGGCAGGACGGTGGCTCTAGACTGAGATTTCAGATGGGAGACAAGTAGTATCCTTCCTCTCGATTGATATTATGTGGATTTTTTCGGATCTCTAGAGATTCGCGGATTTTCCTGGAATAAAGGAAGGGGCTCTTAGAAATAATATGGGTTTTTTCGAACAATATGGAATGACCGGTTTCTTGGCAGTGTTCTGCAACTGCAGAATGGGAGAAAAGACCTGATCGAATGCATCTCTGATGCTCTTGAATCCGAGTTTTGACGCAACGACCAGTTTCGCCAATATACACATGTCCACATGAACAAGGAATAGAATAGACACCACAGGAAGATAGGGGCGGTAATGGGTCCTAAGGAGAGGGTAGATATTGTGAGATTTTCTTGGGTTGTCGAAAAGTAGTCCTGATACCTTCTTTGCGAAGAATTTGCCAATCCTATCAGTGACACTTCGAATATACGGAAGAAAAGCCACAGGAGTATTACCCGAAGATTCTGAATTTGTCGTCCTAGGGTGTAAAGGGGGATGTAGATGTCGGTGTGTAATATTTTGAATTGTGGACTTGGAGTAACCGTTGGCGACAAGGGTTTTTTGCAGATGGCCAAGTTCTTCTCTAAGGTTGTCAGGTTCAGAGATCGAAATGGCCCGATGGATGAGAGAGTTGATCACAGAATTCTTTTGGGCAGGATGGTGGTGTGATGAAGCATGTAGGTAACGATTCGTGTGAGTCTTTTTTCTATAAACAGAGTGACCCAATCGGCCATTGGGCTTGGAGGTGACTAACACATCGAGAAATGGAAGGGACCGATTATTTTCTACTTCCATTGTGAATTTTATACTCGGATGTTGTGAGTTAAGATGATCTAGGAAGGGAGAAAGGGTATGTTGACCATGGGGCCAGATGATAAATATATTATCAACGTAGCGGAACCAGACTTTTGGTTTTAAGGGGTAAGATTCTAGGGCTAAAGACCAAAGGCTTCCATGAAAATGTCACCAATGACAGGGGAAAGGGGAGAACCCATTGGTGTTCCAGATATTTGTTTGTAGAAATTGCCTCTAAAAGAAAAATATGTTGAAAGGAGACATTTTTCCGCAAGATCTGCCAAAACCAAAGACTTGTTATCATTGGTCAAGTGATCTCGCAGAACAACTAGAGAGTCATGTATGGGGATATTGGTAAATAGGGATGATACATCGAAACTGACAAGAATGTCTTGGGGATCGACCGTAAGGGAGGAGATTAAGGTGATGAAATGTGTGGAATTTCGGACATAAGAAGAGGTACAACCAGTATAGGTCTTAAACTGATTCGACAATTACTTTGCGAGTTTGTAGGTGGGAGAGTTAATCGTAGTCACAATGGGACGAAGAGGTACTTTTTTTAGGTTAGGTTTTTTCGGAACTATGGACTTCTTAACATCATCGGAGAGATCGGATTGTTTGATGGCATGGGAAATTTCGCGTTCGACTCTAGGAGTGGAGTCTCGAGAAATTGTATTATAACAGGATGTATCCCTAAGTAAGTCGTTTACTTTCTCTATGTAGGAAAGAGTATCCAGGATGACCTCCGGTCATTCCATATTGTTCGAAAAACCCATATTATTTCTAAGAGACCCTTCTTTTATTCCAGGAAAATCCGCGAATCTCTAGAGATCCGAAAAAATCCACATAATATCAATCGAGAGGAAGGATACTACTTGTCTCCCATCTGTAATCTCAGTGTAGACCCGCCGTCCGGCTCCGCTACCACGATGCAGCCACATGATTGGCCAGCGCGCGCTTCTTGACGTTCGCGCCACGGAGTGTGCCGATACGTTGCAACACGACAGGTCACCGCGACTATAAATAGAGCGGTAGCGGAGTAATCGTCGGATTCACTTCCCGCCTCTCGACGCGTTAGTGTTCTGAGCTGTTGGACGTGAATCCCTGTCCTGGCATTTGGTTTTCACCTCTGGCTTTAAGTAGTTGAGTTACTGTGACCATATACCCATCTTGGTAGTTAGTATTCGCCTCTGGTTGCGTTGAGTAACTGAGTTACCGTTGCTAACTACCTGTCTTTTGATGTCTATTTCTTTGTTCTCCTGAAGAAGCTACATACAATTGTAGCGAAACGTCGAGATGAACCCACTTTTAGGTCACTCACAAATGACACGGTCCAAACCCGGAAGACGAATAAACTATAATTCTGACTCTGGCCGTGGAAGCCTACGATTTCAAGTAAGTTTCTTTATTATATTGTTATGCGTTTTTAGTTTTGCTGCTATTTTTGTCAGGTAAGTAAGGTTTGTCACAAGCTTTTTTGTAATTTTTTTGTATTTTAATTATTTCTTAGTTTTGCTGAAGATAGATATATTATTCGTGAGACTGTTTTCTGTATTTTGTAAGGATCGGTGGCTTGTTACAAGGAACATCAAGAAATTTACTGCCAACGTCTTTGTCACTAAATATATCTCCAAGCTCAGAAGAACCTATCTAAAATTTATCAAAACAGCTAAAAAAATGTACTATTAGAATCATCTGAGAAGCTCTAAAAATGTTAGAAGAGAAACTTGGTCCATAATAAACGATCTTCGAAATAAAACTAACACAGCTTTAACATTTTCTTTTCCAAACCTTAAAAATCTAAATTAATACTTTGTTAATGTGAGTAAAAACATAACTATATTGCCACAACAAGATCCTATTTTCTATCTCCCCAGTTCAAAAAAGGTCTCGAATTCATTCTTTATAAGATTAATTGATAAATCTGAACTGATCCAAACAATCAGTAGTATCAAAAGCAAATCTTTTTGTAGTACTGATGGACTATCCATATTTTTTTTAAATCTCCCAAAAAATATGCTGGAAGTCCTGGTCTTACTAATTTACAATTCCTTTAAAACAGGTATATCTCCAGAGTGACTAAAGGCAGCCATTATCATTCCTCTTCATAAGAGTGGTGAAAAATCTAATGTCTGCAACTATAGATCTATTACCTTACTACCGGTTCTATCCAAAATTATTGAGAGACTTATAAAAGCTCGACTTATGTTCTTTCTCGTTAAAAACAACATTTTATTACAGTCATTTCGGCTTTTTATCTAATAAATGTAACAGCAATGATATGTTTTCTGTACTACATGGGATCTATCAAGCACTAAACAATAATCTTTATACTCCCACTATTTTTTGTGACTATGCCAAAGCTTTTGATTGTGTAAATCACGACATTTTAATAAAAAACTAAATTTTTACTTAATTAAAGGTATTTCTTTGAATTGGTTCCAATCTTACTTTAAAAATAGGAAACAACTAGTTCGAT